CTGGAGCAGCTGGAATTGGGGGAATGGGGGAAGCTTCTGGCAGCTTCTCACAACCCACCCCCTAAACCCCCTCTGCCAAACCCTGGGACACCAACACCCCCCAGAGCAGGGCAGTGCCAGCTGTGCTGATGGTTGTGTTTGCTGTTCCAGCTGTGCTGATGGCTGTGTTTGCCATTCCAGCTGTGCTGATGGCTGTGTTTGCTGTTCCAGCTGTGCTCACAGCCCTGTTTGCTGTTCCAGCTGTGCTCACAGCCCCCTTTGCCATTCCAGGTGCGTGTTACTACGACCCCAACCAGTCCATGTACGTGTTCGGGGGCTGCACCCAGAGCAGCTGCAACGCCGCCTTCAACGACCTCTGGAGACTCGACCTCAACAGCAAGGAGTGGATCCGGCCCCTGGCATCAGGTGAGACGTGCCAGGACCTGAGCCCCTCGCCTGGCTGCTCGGGTTTAGTGTTTCTGTGGGGTTTTTGTCACTGTCTGACTGAGGTTGGGGTTGTATCCTGGCAAAACATGGGCTTCTGTGCATATCTGTGTGTTTGCAGCACCGTGTTGGGTTGGTTTTCTCTGGAGCAGGTGCTGGTTCCTGTCCCAGGATGAGGGACACTTGTTCAGCTGTGAGAGCCCAGGCTGATATGGCTGAGAAAACTGGGATTTTTCAGCCTGGAGAAGGCTGAGGGAGAAGACTGAGATGTGGGATTGTTCAGCCTGGAAAAGGTCAAGAGAGTTGGGATTGTTGAGCCTGGAGAGAGAAGGTTCCAGGGATGCCTCAGAGCCCCTTCCAGTGCCTAAAGGGACTCCAAGAGAGCTGGAGAGGGACTTTAGACAAGGGCCTGGAGTGACAGGACAAGGGGGAATGGTTTTAAACTAAAAGAGGGGAAATTCAGGTGGGTTATTGGGAATAAATCCTTCCCTGGGAGGGTGGGGAGGCCCTGACACAGGTTGCCCAAAGAAGCTGTGGCTGCCCCAGCCCTGGAAGTGTCTAAGGCCAGGTTGGAGCAGCCTGGGCTAGTGGAAGGTGTGGAGCTGGATGAGCCTTAAGGTCCCATCCTGTGATTCCATGATGAGAGTTGTTGTCCCAAAGCTGAGGTTTTCCTTCCTCCCTCCAGTAGGAGCCGTTTGAGGGGTGGAGGAGACGAGCTGAGCGAGGGGGGCTGTAGGAAAGCAGGTCCATCCCTGCAGTCCCTGTGCCCTCAGCAGGCAGGGAAACCCCCCAAACATCTCCACCCCTGGTCTTTGTGCTCCAAGTGTCCCCCAGGGCACACTCGTGTTCCTGGTGCTTCTGAATTCAACTGAAATAATGGGGGAAAAAGCAAAGCACTGGGGAAGCTCTTGGGGCAGGGGGGAAGGAAGGGTTAAACCAGGGGTTTTGGCAAAGGCTTGGTGTTTAACCAAGAGCAGGGAGGAGGAAGGAGCTCAGCACCAGCCCAGCCTGGCCCTTCTCCACAGGCTCCTTGGGGCTTCCTTGGCTCTGTTTGCTCCTCTGACACTGCAAAATCCAGATGTTCCTGTGTCGTGGTGTTCCTTGGGACCTCCTGCTGTCCCACTAACTGTTCACACATCCCTTGGTGCTTGGATCAACCCACACTGCACTGCCAGGAGCAGCTCTGCATGGGGGGATAACCCTCTGGGAAGGTTCTTCTGGTCAGGGATACCCCAGGTTTTATGGAGTTGGGGCAGCCTGGCTGCTTTTCTCCCATCCAAACCCAGGGGGGAAAGAAAATGATCTTTGTTTTTCCCCCCAGAACAGGATTTTGCTCTGATTTTTGCCCTGCACAGCCCTGTGTGATCCCCGCGGGGGAGAGCTAAGGAGGGAGAAAACAAAGCTCAGCCTTCCCACGGGTGTGGAAACTGGGTCCTGCCGACCCTCCATCCCGGGCTGGAGCGTTCTCCCGCTGCCCAGGGGTGGAGAGGAGCAGCATAAACAGGATGCTGGGAGCTGCAGACCTCTGCTCCGAGCCAGCCCTCCCGTTCCTGCAGCCGGCGGGTCCTTCCGCGGCCTGAATGCGGGGCACGACTCGGGCACTCGGGGCTTCCCACAGTCACGTTCCCACTGCCTCCCTGGCAAAGCACGCTCCTGAAGGAGCAGCTCCTGTGGGAATACGTGTCAGAGTTAAGTCCCACGGGAAGATCCCCCGAGGAAATATTTCTGCGTGTTGTCATGAGCGAGATGGGATCGCAACTGAAACTCCGGCCCCGGGAACGCTCCTGCTCCCGGGCTTCCAGAGGGATGAGTCACCCCACCGTGTGCCTGGGGTTGGATCTTGATCCTGCTTGGGTTTGGATGCCCTTAACCAGAGGGTTGGCACCGGCTGCCTGGGAAAGAATAGTGACTGGAGGGGGCAAAAGGGAGAGCTTTGAAATCCGGGATTGGGATGGAAATGAGGCGGGAGGGGTTTGATTGTAAAACAAGAGCTGACAGTGATTGATGAACACTCATTATGTGGGTCCTTAATTGCTGGTGGAGGTGGAGGAGGAGTTCCCACACCTGCCCTGTGGACTCTCTAGGATTTTACTCCAGAGTGAGGCTCCAGCTCTTTCCCAAGGCCAGTTTTCCCTTGGAGAGGTTCCGTCACACTCCACGTGTTCCCTCATTAAGTATCTTATCTAATGAGTGCTTTGGAATAGGAGTGTGGTGTCTCAGCTGAGCTGGAACAGTTTCACCCCTTCCCCTCTCTGAGAGGCTTTTCCAGGAGAAAACACCCTTTTTGTTGTTGTTGTTGTTTGTTCCTCCCTGTTTTCGTTGGGGTTTTCTGGCTCCCGGGCATTCCATGACATCAGAGCTGGATAATTCATCTCCAGCCTGAGCTGCTCTGCTTCAGCTGGCAGTAAATATTTAGCCTTCAAAGACATAATTGGCCTGGGTTTCTTTAGTCTCAGAGACGGAGGAGGGAGATTATTACATCAAAAACCCCTAATTTTTGAGGTTTCAAAGTAATTTTTTTGCTTGGATCTGAACCAACGGCCCTGACTCGTGACTGAGAAGGCTGGAGCAGCTCCAGGGAGTCACTACCTGGCTGTTATGGAGAGCTTTTGGTGGGGCTGGATGCTCTGGGAAGGAGGGGGTCAGGCAGCAGGATCCCTGCTTTAGGAAGGTGCCTCCCAGCTCTTCTCCCTCGAGCTCTCCAGGCCCCTCTGGAGCTGCTTCCCACCCCTTCCACTCCCACAGCCGAGTCCTGCCCGAGCATTTTGTGTGGGAAGCTGCAGAGTTATCCCAGGGTAGGTGGTCCCTGGGAGGAGGTGCCTTTCTCCATGTGCTGGAGGTGCTTTTTGCCTTCATTTGCATAATTAACCTGGACAGTTGTTGGAATTGGAGCCCATCCCTGCCCAGGAGATCCTGATGGAGGGCTGGGGGTGGTTTATGCTGGAATCTGTTGATCCAGCTGGAGGCAAGGGTTAGTTCCCACAGGGTTTCAGTGGTGATAGTCTCTGGTGCTCCCCAAAAACGAACTGAAACAGCCAGGAAAGAAACCAGAATCGATTTGAAACAGAGACTCCCAGGACTTTCAATACCTGAACAGGCTCCAAGGAGCTGGAGGAGGACTTGGGACAAGGGATGGAGGGACAGGACAAGGGAATGGCTTCCCACTGCCATAGGACAGGATTAGATGGGAGATTGGGAAGAAGTCCTTCCCTGGGAGGGTGATGAGGCCCTGGCACAGGTTGTCCAGAGAAGCTGTGGCTGTCCCATCCCTGGAAGTGTCCAAGGCCAGGTTGGAGCAACCTGG